CTGCACACTGGAAATAGTTTTAGGGAACAAATAATTAGCCTTTTGGACATGTGTGTTCATTTCACACAGCAATCTGTTCCTTCATCTCCTCCTCCTTCCTGTTTTGAAGGCAATCATGTGTGTTACGTGCACCATCTGCAGCCTCACTGACAGGTGCAGGGTCAGTATTATCTTTCCAAGCATGGAGCTTAGCACAAACTGGAAATTTCACCAGGCAATTTAGGAGATTTTGAAAACAACCAAAAGCTGAAAGCCCATTTTACCAGTAGCTGGAAGCTTTTGTTGTAAATGCTTGTTAATATATTTTTAAGACCATATGTACATAGATTTACCTGGCTTGAGACATTATCCAAAAATATGCCTATATCAATTTATTTTTAAGCAAAGTGTGGATTGGAAATAATATAAAAGGAAAAACTTAGGGACATGTTATAGAAGCATTTTATTTGTCTTCCTTTGTTATTTGCTGGTTTTCTTTTTTTGAGTCAGGGTCTTGCTATATAGCCCAGACTGTGCTTAAATTCATTACATAACCCAAATGTCCTTAAACCTGTGATAATCCTACTGTCTCAGCCTCTTGAGTTCTGGGGTTACAGTTTTGCACCACTATGATTATCTTTGACTTGCTTTGTGTGAACATTTAGGCACGTATTAAGGTCCATTTATTCCCCTACAAGGATCCTGTGTCCGCATCCTTTAGGACAGCAGTACACCCTATGAGCCTATTTCAATGTGTTATAATGTAGGAAGACAGGCTCACAAGTCCCGAAAGGGAAACCGGCATTTCCTTTGGATGTAATGTGGTATATAGATGTTAGCTTCTATACCTCAGCTATTGTATTAATGAAATTAGGATTTGGGAATTGATTTAGGTTAGTGATGGCAAACCTTTTAGAGCTTGCAATTGTAACAAACACCTTACTGCAGCATAGATTCTTTACCACTGATCTAAATTATTAAATGCCATTTAAATTAAATTGTGTTAACACAAGAAAATGGTAGAGATTTCATGTGTGTTCCCAAGCTACAGTCTCAACCTTTCTATACAGTCTAGGTTTCAACCTGAATTTCCAGAGTTGAATTAACTTGGTAAATTTATCCTGATTATGGATTTTTCTTGAACTTTCTCAATGCATAAGCACTTGGGAATCACACTAAAAGCACAGCCATCTGATAAATGTAGTCTCATACTAACTCTGTATTTCAAATGGAACACTGAATATGAGATAATTGATTATTTTAAAATTAGAAACACCATTCATAATAAAACCAAACATAAGTTGATATGCACTAATATGGAAGTAGATCTGTTAAATGATATTAGAACTAAGATTTAGAATACTATTCTTTAATTATTAAATAATTTCTGATATATAAGGTAATAGAATATGTCTGCAAATTTACACTGGAAACAATTGAGAAAGACTGACCCTCACAGGGATACCTGGGGAAAAGCAAAATTGCCATGGCATAATTGTATTCCCATGACCAGCAATGTAGAATCACTTGTATTTGAAATCATCTATTCTCAAAATACCAACTAGTCAATAGGGATTAAAGGGAAAATGATATCTTAATTTTTTTTAATTTTTATTTTTATTTTAAGGAGAGTAGTACATGCGACATAAACAAACAAAAAAATAGAACTGTAACAGCACACCAGTATCACAAACATAAACAAATCAAAGCAAGAACATTCAAAGTGATACATGGTCTCAGGACAAATTAATACAAATCAACAGTGGTTGTTACATTGCATAACACTGTCCTCAACTACATTGCTCAGATTATCAGATGTAAGAATGAAAGATTGCTCAAACTATTAAAGAGAATAAGAAAAAAAATCATCAATAAATCATTAAAAATAATAGAAAGTTTCACTAGACAAGATGGTACGAGTTCACCAATGGAATTCCATTGCATATTGTTACCTTCAAGTCAGTTGCTCAGACCATGAGACACAAGCATGCAAGTCAATCAGAATATAAAAAATTGTGAGCATTAAGTGTTCATTTCAATGCATCATCAGACAACAGCAATACAATCATCACAGCTATTCATGTATATATTTATGTTTTGCCTTCCTTCTTTCTTTTTTCTTCTTTCCCTCACCCCAGTCATTCTTTCCTTTGAGCAGTTTCTTTCCCTTTCCTATCATCTATTGAACGTTTTGAGTTTTACCTAGTCTTTCAGGTTCCTACACCAAGGAGACAATATGATGTTTACACATGTTGGTCCGATTTATTTCACTTATGAATATGGTCTCTAGTTGCATCCATTTACCTACAAAAGCCTTGAATTTATCTTTTCTAATAGCTGAATAATTCTCCGTTGTACAAATATGCCATATCTTTTTTATCCATTCCTTAGTGGATGGGCATCTGGGTTGTTTCCAAGATTTAGCTATAACACATTATGCTGCTATAAACAAGGGTAGACATATATCGCTGTGGTATGATGTCTTTAATTCTTCTGGGAAAATACCCAGAAGGGGAATAGCTGGGTTAAATGGAACTTCTAACCCTTGTTTTGTGAGGAATCTCCAAATTGATTTCCACAGTGGTTTCACTAATCTACACTCCCAGCAGCAGTGGAGTAGGGTTCCTTTCTCCCCACAGCCTCTCCAGCATTTGTTATTGGTTGATTTCTTGATGATAGCCATTCTTTCTGGAGTGAGACAGAATCTCAGTGTTGTTTTAATTTACATTTCTCAAATGAGTAATGACATTGAGCATTCTTCATGTATTTATTTGCCATTAGTATCTCCTCATTATAGAAGTGTGAATGCATCGCAGATGCCCATTTTTGGACTGGGTCTTTGAATTTGGGAGGCCTGATTTTCTTTAAATCTTTATATGACCTAGATAGAATTCCTGTGTCTGAGGGTAGTTGGCTAAATATTTTTCCCATTTCGTGGGTTTTCTTTTCACTTTATTGGTGATTTCTTTAGATGTGCAAAAATTTTCAATAAGATGAGATCTTAGTTGTTGATTCTTTGAAGTATTTCCCATGCAGTTTGGTTTTTGTCCATTAACTCTCTGCCTACCCCGATGTCATGAAGATTTTTAACGAATTTCTCTTCCAATAAATTTAGTGTTTCCATTTTAATATTTAGATCTTTGATCCACTTTGACTTTAATTTACTGCATGGTGAAAGACATGGGTCTAGTTTTAATCTTTGGCATATGGAAATCCAGTTTTTCCAGCACCATTTATTAAAGAGGCTATCTTCCTTCCATTGAA